CATACAATCACCTGTACATTTCAATTCATCAGTTATCATTTATGGCGTAGCACAGCAAATGCTCTTCAGGAATTAACGAACAAATGTAGACGAGCCTAATGCACAAGAAACAGACTAAGACAACCAGATGAATGATATGATAATATGACCAAACGAGTTCCACAAAGTTAAGAAAAAAGACAGAACAAATGTCCATCATAAACAAGATTGGCAAAAGATTAGAGATGATAGGAATAGGTCTTCGATGAGAACGAGACGAAACCTGGCTTATAGAACACAGAGAGCCCAAAATCCGTGGCTTTGAGTGCCGCATCCTCATCGGCGCTGGCGAACAAGAAATTCTCCGGCTTGAGGTCCCGATGCATCACCCCGAGAGAATGGCACGCTTCCACGACCCCCACGATGGTCTTGATCAACTGCGCCGCCTTCCTCTCGCTGTAGTGCCCCTTCTGGATGATCCTGTCGAAGAGCTCCCCGCCCGCGCAGAGCTCCATCACCAGGTGCACAAAGAGCGTGTCCTCGTAGGTTCCCTTGATCCTAACGACGTTGGGGTGCTCCGACAGGTGGTGCATGATCTGGATCTCGCGCCATACGTCCTCGTAGTCATCGCGGCAGAGAAGCTTGCGCTTGGGGATGGACTTGCATGCGTACTCCTTGCCATCGTTCTTGTCGACGCAGAGGTACGTCGTGCCGAACTGGCCCTGCCCAAGCTTCTTCCCGATGCGGTAATGCTCCCGCAGGTTCGGGGTCTTGTACGGGAGGACCGCAGAGGGCCTGGAGGGACGATGGGGAGGAGGGTTGGAAGAGGGCTGACTCATGGATGGAAAGATTGAATCTTGGACTCCGAAAGCGAAACAGAACACAAATTGGGATTTTTAGGTAGGCCGGCGTCAGAAAGATTCCGTCTTTCTTATTCTTCCTGATGAATTCTTGAAATCGTGAGGCATTCCTGAGGAAATCGATGCGAAGGGTCTTCGGAGGAAGGAAGAAACGGATGGCGTTCGGGGCTCTTCACGGAAATTTGCAGAATGGGAGCTGAAGGAGAGATTCTTGAAACCTCCGGGATGTGTATAAAGGGATGAAGGCGGAGGTCCGCGATTGGGGTCTCGGGGAAGGAGAGGGGAAGGGACGCAGAGAGGGAGTCAAGTCAAGAATAGAGAAGAGGTCATCATCCCTTCTCCGATTGGTGGCAAGAACATTGTTATCTTTTCTGCACGACCTTTATAGGGGGTTCCGTTTCCCTTCTCATGGATCATCAGTTTTAATGGGTTGATTGATTCTCTTTTCCCTTTCCTTCATTATTTATGAATTAACAACTTTTAAATAATAATATTCACATTATTAATATTGGAAATTATATATATATTTTTAAGGATTTCTAAATTAATATTTTTTTATAAAAATAGAAATAAAAAAAAGATAATCTTTTATTATTTTCTCATGGCCTTTGCAGATTAAATTTGTCTTATTGTGATAGATTTGGAGGTTAAAGTGTTCTGGCAGGACAGCAGGTGGCCTATTTGGATGAGGCTGATTGCTATTGACAGTCGTCAACCATTCACAACATATTATTATTATTATTAGGATCAAATCATTATAAGTTGATCCAAAATAATAAAGAAAATAAATTGCTCAAATATAACAACACCCTATTTTCTTACTCTTCTCCTGCAGCATCCATTGATTCAATAGGAAAACAGCATTATATCGAACGGCTTGCTCTTAAATATAGCATATTGCAGATTCCTGCTGCTGCAATGTTTTCACAGTAATACAGCTTGTCTTAAGGGACCAATGTGTCCTAAAAGTCAATCCAATAAATGGGAGAGATCTAAACTGTGCTTGATTTTATCTAGTTTGGTTAACATATTTGATTTCTAATATTTTAAGTTTATTGCATACTATAGGAGAAAACATTTACAGAAATCAATTTGATATATTGATAGAAGATGAGAAAATATATATATGATCTGATTAGATCAAGTGAGATAATCTAAACTCTCCTGATTTAATTAAGAAATATTATCTTGCACAAGACTCCGAATAATTGTATACTAAGAGAAGGATCAAAGAACACTGCATACATACAAGAGAAGAGGCAGAGCTCTGACAAGAACCATGTTCAATAAGAGGCAGCAAACTCAGTTGCTTACGGTAGGTTACAGATTCCACTGATTGCTCTGCAAATGGTGTGAGTCAAGGAGGAAACAGTTACTGAAGTTAAGTATAGAAGGCAGGAAGATGACAAAGAGATGCATGAATCTCACATGAGGCAATGGTTTTCTGAAGCTGACAAAAGGAGTATGCATGAACACTGTGCATTTTGTTAGAACCAAGCAGAACGAGCACCTTGTGTGGTTGTACTCCAAATACCAAGTGCAGTCCAAATCTACAAGCATACACGGCAGAATACATTGAGGAAATCTTTTGACATGTTTCATGTACCCACCTTCCCTACATGCAACCAAATACCAAGTAGATTCTTTGGCAGATGTGAAGAGAACTAGCAACACGTTCCTGGAAAGCACATAGCATCATGATTTCCAGCTCATGTGCAGCTGAAGGTTGGCTGATAAAGATGGAGGAATCTGAGAGAGGGAGCGAAGCTTTGTGGCTCAACATGAGGAAGATCTTTCTGGTATTCACAAGATGGCTTTTGGGTCTCTGCAAGGTGATCTCAGAATGATTACTCCCGACTGTAGCTCCATGTAAACTAAATACAATAATGCCTTCTTATCAAGAACACTCATACATAGAATTACTAGAATTGGATTTGCTCGCACTGTGCCGAACAAATCAGATCAAACGTAGTGCAAGAAAGGATGATTTCAGGAACGAATTCATCCATTCCTCTCTGCTTTCTACATTTCTGTTTTTTTTTGCCCATCGATCCAAAACAAACAAACGAAGATTGAATCGGTTTACACACTTCAAGTCTCCGACAAACACTAATTAAAGCCCAATTCAGCTCCAGTAGTAAGCGAAAAAAGCGATCTTTTTTTCCTACACGCGCTTAATGTCCCCCGCCGCTGTCGCAGTCCAAGACCAGCAGTTCTCCTCCGACGAGCCGCAGCTGGTCCTCCAAGTAGCGGCGCAGCAGTCGCGGCTCCATCGCCGGCGCCTCCTGTTCCCGGCACAGCCCCAGGATCACTGAGGCGCCGCCGCTTTCCCAGCCCGGTGAGTTCCGCGGCCGCCGCCTCCTGGCCTGGAGACAGAGCCCGACGATGCAGAGCAGGGGAAAGGAGACGCAGGCCAGGGGGATGAGCACCGGGGAGCAGCAGATCAGGGCCAGTATCAGCAGGCAGGTCCTCCTCCACCCTCCTTCACCACTCGCCGGAGACCACCGCAGGGCGGCGCGCGGCAATCTTTGACCCATATCCGCCTCTGTCGCTGATGCCTTCCCCTCACCCCATAACAACCACTGCCATTAGAATTCCACTTGACCAGCTATCCAGATTTCCATACCTTAAGGTCTCTAATCGATTCTTGCCCTTTGGGTTAGCCGTCAATAACTTCTATCTTCATATCTTAGTGAAAGAAACAATCTTTTTCTCTCTCTGACAGTCCTCCACCTCTAACTGCTAGACATATCGAGTGCTTCATCCTCACTCCCACTAAATAGATGTAGGCAAAGATGATAAGATGCCTCCTACCAACCTCTCTACTGATGGCACCGTTCATCTTACAAATATTGCCGTAATGTTGCTTGGCTCGAAACACAACCATCATCACATTTATGTGTGGTAGTTCAGTCATGCCTAGTAATTAATTCCAATGCATTAATTAGTAGAAAGGTACGCAGAATCATTCCAGTACAAATGCCAAATTGCTTATTACAGTCCGAAGTTACAGAGGATTGAAGTTGTCTTTCTCTGTCGATGATACCAAAAATCTCTCCACTGCAAATTGGTAACTTGACAGGAGAGGTCCAAAAGCCATGGTGTCTCAACCACAGCCATGTTCTGCAGAATCCTCAACGGCTCTCTGTCCACAAGAGCTGATTAAATGGGCAGAGACGGCAACAGAGTTGGCCAGTCCCCACACTCGTCGACTGACCCAGTTATCTTCTCATGTTCTTAATGCAGCCTCTAAATTATTAGTTTCTGTGGAGAGCTACAGATCTTTTGTGTTGGAGTTCCATCGCCCCCAACTTTGGTTAGCTGGACCAGCTGCTATCGACTACTGCTACTGCTCTTTCCAACTACATCATTATCACACACCAAATACTATCAGGCTTGCCTTCCAATCATTGCTCTTAGACTTTACAACCATGTGTGCGCGGATATATTATTTCTTGTAGCGCAACACGAGGCATGAAACCCGGCCATTAATGTGAATTATGTCTTAGCATTTATCCTTATCCATCAGTAAACAAGCAGCAGGAATAGCAAATATTCTGTAGTCGTTCATTAGGACTTCTTTTCTTCTTCTTTGTCCAGATAAGTGTGGTGGGGAAGAAGATACTCGGCGAGGAACATGTAGGACATAGCTGGAGACGTGTTGGAGGTGAGAGACGAAGAGAGAGGCAGGAGATAAGAAGGAATGAAAGCAGAGCAAAGTAAAAGAGAAAGCGACGTGCTTCCCTCAAAATGAGCACAATCTCGTCCGCCTCATCCGGCCTTCTCTTGGGATGCATTGGATCCTCGATAGGCTTCTTTGTCGCCATCTCCATCGATAAGATGCCGAAGCCCATTTAAATATTATGGTGTTTTTGTTGTTGTCAACTCTCTACGTGATTGTATGATAATTCGGCGAAGAAATAATAACATTCTCCTGCCCAAATCACTGTTCCAGCCATTAATTACTAATATAAGATCGACATTAGGAATCATCATCTTGTTCTCTCAGCAGAGTGATTGATGCAAAACCAAATCATCGAGCAACGTTAGGCTTATTATGCAGATCGAAGGAAGGAGGAGGTGTCGTGAGATTCCTTCGAAATCATTGCAACGGCTACAACTTGTTCGTGATTTAAAATCCTTCACGAATCTTAAAGAAGTCGTCCTTCTTCTCCACAAAAAAAGCCACCGCAACAGTTCTCAAAGCTGTCCAACGGACTCTGACAGCCTGTTCTCTTCTTTGTGGGTGTATATAACTCCGCCTACCCGTTTCCCTCTTACCAACCAACGCAGCCATCAGCTCCGCTTCAAGACTCGAGCTTTTTGAGTCCTCTTTGCTTCTGTTTGTTTGGAAGACCAAGCGATGGCCGAGGAGACCAAGACGGAGGCACCAGAGGCGGCTCCCGCCGAGGAGGTTGTCGTCGCGGAGGTGGCGGCCGCGGAGAAGGAGGTTGTTGATGAGCCGCCGCCGCCGCCGCCTGCGCCTGAGCCTGAGCCTGCCCCCGAGGTGCAAAAGCCGACCAAGAATCCGGCTTTGGAAGTCGCGTTGGCCGCTGAGGCGGCGGCCGAGGCGGAGGAGAAGAAGGCCGCGGCGCAGGAGGCGGAGGCGGCTGCTAAGGCCGCCACCATCCTCCAAGCTGTCTCCTTTAAGGAGGAGAGCAACCTCGCTTCCGACCTCGATGACCCCGAGAAGAAGGCCCTCGAGGAGCTCAAGCAGCTCGTCCAGGCCGCTCTCGCCAATAATGAATTCTCCCCTCCTCCTCCTCCTCCTCCTCCGCCGCCGCAACCGGCCCCCGCTGTCGCTGCACCCACATCTGCTGAGGAACCTCCTTTCAAGGCGGAGGAGGCCAAGGCCGTAGAGGAACCCGCTGCTACCCCGGTGGAAGAGCCCGAGAAGACCGTGGCGGAGGAGGCCAAGGCTGAGGCGGAACCCGCTGCTACCCCGGTGGAAGAGCCCCATAAGGCCGTGGCGGAGGAGGCCAAAGCTGAAGCGGAACCCGCTGCTACCCTGGTGGAAGAGCCCCAGAAGGCTGTGGTTGAGGAGGCCAAG